TCCACTCTCACATGTATTAAGCAACCTATATATAGAATTCTTTGAAAAGAAACTATTAAGAAATATTTTACCACCTTCGGCAGTCTGGTTTAGATATGTTGATGATGTATTATGTCTCTGGCCTAGTAATGAGGACCTAAAAGCTTTCCTGTCACAACTTAACAACTTAGCCCCCTCGATCAAATTCACTGTGGAATTAGAGCATGACTGTAAATTGCCATTCCTAGATTGTCTGATACACAGAATAGGTAACACTTTTAAGTTCAGTATTTATAGAAAACCTACTAATGTGTGTTCATACATTCATTATTATTCTTCCCACCATAATAGAGTCAAACAGTCAGTATTTTCAACAATGTTTTTACGTGCTTTGAGAATTTGCAACCAGGAATTCATTGATGAGGAATATAAATATATCTATAATATTGGCTCAAACCTTAAATACCCTAGATCTTTCATAGACAAATGCCTGAACATTACTGAGAAATCTTTTTATAGAACTGATCCCAAGCCCACCCATGACCATAAGAATATCTTAATATTACCATTTCACAAAAAACTCATGCACTGTTAAACAAATGTTAACCAAGAACTCCCCCAACAACACAATTGGTTGCATTTATAAAGTTCCTTGCAAGGAATGTAATATGTTTTACTTAGGCCAGACAGGTAAAGATCTTGTAACTAGACTTAAACAACATAAATATAGTGTTAGGACAGGCCAGAAATCCAATGCTATGTTTGTTCATTTGAGGGATAACAAGCATTGCATTGACTGGGATAATGCCTCCTCAATATTACCTTATAATTCAATTGACAGTAGGAACATCATAGAATCTAGTCTCATTAAACATACCGAAGCATTCAACATGAATTTGAGTAATGGCATGTACAAACTGGACAATTTTGTAATTAAGAAGATTTGTAACCAGGTGAGAAGGTTGGGTCACCTTACCCTCTGACCTGACTACCGACCGTTGCGGTGCTATTTAAAGATTAGTAGGGTCATTACCTAATACCTGACCATTGTGGACCTGATCTCACCCTCCTCTGTATATATACACCTTGTTTTGTACTTCTCCTTAGTCTGTACTCACCCCTGAAGATGTGAATTACACGAAAGCGCTTGGGAACTTCGTGTTTTCTTTTTCCTTGTGGTTATCAGCATATACCTATCATATATGATTTACTTGCATATATATATATATATATATATATATATATATATATATATATATATATATATATATATATATATATATATATATATATATATATGCTGATAACCACAAGGAAAAAGAAAACACGAAGTTCCCAAGCGGTCCTGGTTCTATATCGTAATTTTTTATGCCTTTGGGTCACCAGCTGTGTGTTGTTATTATATTAGTGTTGTAATATGGGGTACTCTGATTCTTGTAGATTTTCCCATATTGCTATTGCTTGTTTGGGCGTTCTACTGTTAATATGTTATGTTATGTGTGTATGTCTCGTACTGTTTGTGTATAAGGTGAGCTGTGTTTTGCCGCTCTCCTGAGGGCTACATTCTGCACTGCCTGTAGTTTTAGTTTATTTGTTTTTATGATTGTGTTTAGAGGTATCGGAGGGTATTCTAGATGCGGTCTGACCAAAGCTTTGTAGAGGTGGAGTTGTGTTTTGGTGTTTAATTTTCGGAATCTTCTGAGCTTTGTAAGTTGTGTTTTTGCTATTGCTATTCTTTCTTTGGTGTTGAGTCATAGTATTTTTTCGTTGGCGATTTATGGTAGTATTTGATAGTTATTTACTATAATGGGGTAAGGGTTTGCTTTTGCTATGTGTAGGATTTTGAGTTTTTCCAGGGTGGTTTTTATTTTCCATTTCCTTTCATACATGTTAAGTGATTCTATTTCTCGGCTTGTTCGTATGGCCATCATTTGTTTGGATTTTCCAGGGTATTTGATTGAGTTGCATCGTCTGTGTATGCTATACTGTATATTCTGATTGTGTAGGTTTCGGCATGTCTGTTGTGTATATAGTGTATTATGTTGAGTGAGGACGGAAAGTGTATATCAGTTGGGAGAGATTACAACTGATATACACTTTCCCTCCTCATCCCCAATACCCCTTGTCCTTTCCCCCCACCCACCAAAAATATACCTTAAGCTAACACACCCCCTCCTCCCTCTCCCTCCAGTTCACTAGCGAGTGCTTCAAATTTACAGGTCAGAGTTCGGGGCCCATACACCCCAGGGAAAGACAGGACTGGCAACTCTTAAGTGGAGTGGAGCCAACTGGACCTCCAGTCCTGGTATCCATGTCACTTGATATTTCTGGCTGAGTGATATTTACCAAGTTATAGAGTAGAAAAAGAACATAATCGACACATATATTCTTTTCCTTCTATGAAAATAAATTACCTAAACCACATTCAAGAGAAAATACAGAGCTTAAGGGAATATACCAGAATAACCTTGGTGTCTTAAATGTGGCGGGCAGTTAGCCTTGAGACAATTCCACGTTTCACTACCTGATTTTCGCAAAAATATGTTGTATATCACAATATAATATAAACATTTTTAGTGAATAGTAGCTTGGATTATAAATTTAAAAGTAAATACTATTTTAGCTACTACTATCATATCACTTTTTATTTCCTCTATATGAAAACAAATTGTAAGTGATTTTCCTGACCATTCGAACACTAAGCAGCATATTCCAGTATAAACATCGAACATTGTTTTCAAAATTATAAATCTTATGCAACTGTTGGAATTGTAGAATCATCGCCTCAGCTTATTTCACCTGAAGATTAACTACCTTAATGCTAACTTAACCTAACCTAAACCTATTATATCCTAACCTAAATCTAACCTTACATATCCTAACCTAACCTCATCCTCTCAAAATAGTTTTAGGGTGGTTTAATCTTTAGGTGAAATAAGCTGGGGCGATGATTCTTCAGGTGATCCTATTTATGTTTGTAAACAATCTAAAAAAAATTCTGTAAATGCATAAAAATACTAATATATACAGGATCGTCTAACGTCTATATTCATGCAATAACACCTCACGCCAGAGAGGACACTGGCCATTCTCTGTGATTAGTCAACAGTCCCCCAAGGGTCCGACTAATTACCCAAATGTACCCAAATATAGCCGGAATGAAGTCAAATAATGGTCCTAGGTGAATAAATCGGACTGCCAATCACTTCTCGACTAGTATTTGGTGTCACAAAGTCACAAAAAATTGGTAAACTTAATTTAATCTGAGTTAATAGATCAAGTGCATATACCTAACCTAACCTAATCAAACCAAACCTAACCTAATACAACACAAATCAGATTAAATTAAGTTTACCAATTTTTTTTTACTTTATGACACCAAATAATAATCGAGAAGTGATTCACAGCCCGAATTACGCTTGTACGACCATCATTTGACTTAATTGCGGCTACATTTGGGTAATTCCTCGCTCCGTCGGCACATGCACACGATCTATTAACTCAGATTAAAGTAAGTTTTCCAATTTTTTGTGACTTTCTGACACCAAATATTAGTCGAGAAGTGATTGGCAGTCCGATTTATTCATCTAGGACCATTATTTGACTTCATTCCGGCTATATTTGGCTACATTTGGGTAATTAGTCGGACCGGTCCTCCAAAACAGCCTTGACTTATGAGCAGCTCGACTTGAGTGTTGTAGTGTCTGCGCACACACGCACAAAGTCACCTCTAGCTTGGCCTGCACAAACAATCCCTTAAAAGGAAAGCTATGATTACATCATCTGCCGTGCTACTTCGTCCCTCTCTCCTCCTTCTCCTCCTCTCACTATTCATTTTCCTCCTAATTCTTCTCCCTCTTCCTCCTGTTCACTTCTCTTCTTTATCCTGATACTCCTTCCTCTATCCCAACTCTTCCTCTCCACTTTTTTCTTAGTGGTTCTCCCCCTCGCCAGTTTTCCCTTTTCATTCTCCACCTGCCCTTCCTCCACCTCTTCTCTTCCCCCTCCTTCTACTTCCTCATCCTTCCTTTTCAAATGCATTATTCTTGCTCTCTATAAGACCACCACCACCACGTCCCCTCTCTCAATCTTCCTCCACCAACACCGTGTATATATATATATATATATATATATATATATATATATATATATATATATATATATATATATATATATATATATATACTGTACTCCAAGCTTTGTCAATAAATTTGTTAAATTTAAAAAAAAAACCTTCCTCCCTCCCGACCTTCCTCCACCACCATCACCAAATCCTCCCTCCCACCTTCCCTCCACCATCACCACGACTACGCCCTCCCTCCCTTTCTAGCCCTGTCCCTGGTGCCCGCGGGGTGGGCAGGTAAGCTCACTAAACTGCTAAACACTGACTATGTTGTTGTAGTTCAGGGTAATGAAAATTAACTGGGGGTTGGGGGGTCATATATCGCCTCAAGTGGTCCTCCTCCGCTTCCTTGCCACTTATGTAAAGTCATTTAGAGGCATTAAGGAGACAAGGGAAAAGATCGATATGAAGTACCTCAAACTTATTTGGATATTAATGAGCATAAGTTGGTTGTGGGTTTCAGAAGGCAGGCGTGGAGACGACGTTGTGCTCGTGTTCTGTCCTTTGTCTTGTGTATACGTCGTGGGTGTTTGTTTTGGGTAATTCAGAGAGTGATTAAGTTAGTGATATTGTAAGTAAGGCTATTTTGGTGCGAAAACGTCTACTCCCAATTAGGACTAGCTTTATATAATTCATCAAATCTACCACTTATCAGCTTCTTAACCGTTCGGGAGGTCAGTCTGTACTTTCTTTTTCTGTTGCGACTTTAATTGCCTGTAGTAAAGAGAACTTGTTATCATTCCATTATTATTATAATAAATATAAATTATGTTGTCGTCAGTCTATAATAGTTTCGGTAAACATGAAACTTGCAGCAAACGTAATACTAGCGAAGGATTTTAAGCAATATGGTCGTGATGTGTGTTGAGGTCTGTTCTAAAGAGAAGTGTGTCCTCAGGTCATGAGAAGTGCCCGTTCCACTTCGACTTAGAGTTGGATCACAAGCCGCCTACCAGGGAGGACATCATCCCAGAGCTGGCCGCCAGTTATCGCTCCCTTCTGAAGGATCTCGGTGAGGATCCAAATCGTGATGGGCTCCGTAAGACTCCCGTTAGAGCTGCTAAGGCCATGCTCTACTTCACCAAGGGCTACGACCAGACTATCGAAGGTGAGTGTCCCTAGAGCAACAATGAAGCTCGGTCATTCTCAAACTTCTCAGTTTTGTCTAAGAATATCTTAATTTTCTGTTTCTTCGACATCTTTGGAATAATCAAGTTGCAATATACAGGTATAATGATATAACTGGTCTCGTGTCGTATTATACTAAAATTAAGAAATAATAGTGATGCTATTTAACACTGTGACTACCTGCCTTGACGTGTGTGCCCTCTCCACCTTCCCTCCCTCCCCCCACCGTCAGATGTGATGAACGACGCTGTGTTCGACGAGGACCACGACGATCTGGTTATCGTGAAGGACATAGAGATGTTCTCCATTTGCGAGCATCATCTGGTCCCCTTCTGGGGTAAAGTGTCTGTCGGCTACCTCCCAAACAAAAAAGTGCTGGGCCTCTCCAAGGTAGCCAGGTAATATATTTGACGTCTTTTACCAGCAGACACACACACACACACACACTATACAGCATCTGTTAAGTTTGATAGATTGATAAACAAAGTCTGAAATTTCAAACGAATTAAATATCATATTTTATTTCATCATCCAACAAAAAGGACTAATTTCTTCTGCCGCTCTCATAAACTCGGCAGTAGTGAGTTCCCTGCAGATGGTAATAATCATAAAGGGAGTTAGGCGCGGGTAAGATCGTGTTGCGTCTCAGTTACAGAGCGTATTCGTTGTTGAGCGGTAGAAATTGGACAGTGATTACATAAGATCATCAAGATCGTCTTTGTTATGTGAAGTGTAAATCGATGTAGGAATTTTAACGCTAGACGCGATTGTATTTTTTAAAACTCAATCTCCACTTAGTTGGAGATACAGCCCATGTCAAGAGGCCTACAACCACAAAATCATTGCCATATGACAAAGCTCTTATTTTATTTTTTAACGGAGTTGTGGTCACGGCTGTGATAAATCAGTTCATAGTGTCATCAGTGACCGCGGAAGAGGTTGTAAATAACTTAAAGTGAATACAAATTGGCAAGCAAGTTGGTAAGGCACCGCTACCAGCAGAAACCAAGTCGTGTTATAGGTGCCACAGAGACTTTAAATATTATTTTGTATGTGTGCTTTCTCATGGACTGAAACTGTGCCTACAATACACCATTCACAGGGAGATACAGTGTACACAGTGATAGCACAAAGAGATATAGTATTTGATGAGAACGGGAAAAGAAAGTACAGTATACGGAAATACTAGTTAAAATAAAATAAAAATTAAATCAACAAGCTTGGTTATCCTAAAAGGCATTCTATTACTGCCCCAAAGAAAGTTTTATTTAATTTTTTTCTGTTTCTAAAGGACTGAGTGGATGTATAAAATCCGTTATTCACAGCAAAATGCAGTGTACACAGAGATAGCACATAAATACCGACAAATTGCCGAAGTGAACTGAAAAAAAGAGAAGAAACAGAAGACAACTCTAAAGGTAACAGGGGAGGTTAAAACCAGCAGAGGGCAGCTAAGTACTTTTTTTTTCTTTTTTTTTAAATAGGTGTAGATCTATACAAAGTGTGCAACCACCCCCCCCACAACAACAAGAACCATGAGGGAAATGATGATGTGTGATTACTGCGGGGAATAACGGATATAGATGCAGCATTTAGGAAAGCTGTTGCTAGTATTACCCTGACTGCATAGTCAAGGTGAAAGAGGTGATTGCAAGCCATTGGGGAACGAGTTTCCTAAGGACGAAAATAGATGAAGCTGGAGCCTTGCTGGTTGCCAAACTAGAACAAGTTGGGAAAGAGATCCTTGCTAAGACTGAAGAAGTAGCCGACAGAATGGAGGTGGTTGCTAAGAGGAGTTATGCTGAGGTATTAGCAGGGCCACGGGAGGTGGCAGAGAGTGATGAGGGATCAGAACAGGTTCTACAGCAGCTAGGTTTCTGAAGAAGTGTGTCGAAGAAATGAAAATTAACGGACTTACTGTTAGGGGAGAGGAGGAACAACGGGAACGTTTCCAGCGCAGGAACAATGTAATAGTTTTTGGAGTCCCTGAGAGCCAGGCGGAGGGAACTGAGAGTAAGGTAACACACGATAAGATGCAGTTTAAGAATATTTGTACAGAGGTTCTGACGATGCCGTCAACCCCTCAGAATGTGAGGAGGCTGGGACAAAAGCAGGGGGATAAGTCTCGCCCCCTCAGGATCACACTAGTGAGTGAGGAGGAGAAATGGGAGGTTATTCGGCAGGCAAAAAAACTTAGCAAGGAGCGAGGTACCTCGGAGTGCATTCATTCACCCAGATTGCACGGTAATGCAGAGGGAACAGTACAAGAAGCTCCTGCAGAGCTTGAAGCAGGGTTATATTCAGGGAGAGGGTAGTGGAAGCAAGTGTACCGCCACAGGGCCAAGGAACAGCAGCGCACCCTCCACCCGGGAGGAGGTGAGCACCTTGTAAGCAATGACATTTCTAACCACACCTTGAAAAATAGTGTACTTAGCAAATGCTGCAGCTTCTGAGAATGGGGGGGGGTTACTACTAAGAGCAGAGACGTTACCGAGAACAAATTCTGGCTTGAATGTCATGTACACTAATACTGACACGTTCCTTGATAAGAGAGAGGAGTTTGAAACACTACTGAAGGTACACCAACCAGATATTGTAGGAGTTGTAGAACTGTTGTACTGTAGTGGATTCCTTCCCTACAAACGCTGTTTGTCACCGAGTAGCCGACCCCGCGAATTCCCCAGTGTATGCCTCGTGGTCTAGGTCAACCAGCGCCGCCTTACATGACGGAGGTCAACTATTAAGCCACGCCTACCTCCGCTATATAAGACCTGACCTCGTGGTGACCTACCTCTCTTCTTCTAGCTACAGCCGCAGCAAGCAACACCACCTCCTCCGCCGCTGCCTGGCGGGAGCGAGGGCCGCCAGGCAGCGGCGGAGGAGGTGGTGTTGCTTGCTGCGGCTGTAGCTAGAAGAAGAGCGGTAGGTCACCACGAGGTCAAGTCTTATATAGCGGAGGTAGGCGTGGCTTAATAGTTGACCTCCGTCATGTAAGGCGGCGCTGGTTGACCTAGACCACGAGGCATACACTGGGGAATTCGCGGGGTCGGCTACTCAACGACAAACAGCGTTTGTAGGGGAGGAATCCACTACAGTACAATAACATGAGAATCGACCAAGAGGAATATGAGTTCAATATTGCTGGATATGACTCATTTGCGAACCTTTCTCAAGAAACTTGCAAGAGGTTGTAGTTGTCTATGCTAGGCAGACCTTAGAGCCAGCCAGGCGAGGGTACAGGGAGAGGATGTTTTTGAAGAGTCCATGTGGTGTAAAATTAAACTAAAGGGAGGGGACTTACTTATTGTTGGGTGTATCTATAGATCCCCAAACTGTGGTCCACTAAATCAAAGGAACTTAAGAGCCTTAATAGATAACGCGGCGATGCTCAACCCTAGCCACCTCCTTATCATGGGGGACCTTAACTATGGCGATATCAACTAGAGAAGCGAGTTCACCCCAAAAGACTTGAATAACCCTGCTACTCTTTCTGTAGAAACTCTGAGAGATAATTTTCTGTTCCAACATGTTAGAGACCCAACACATTATAGAGGGGAGCAAACACCCAAGCCACTAGACCTCATCCTAACAAACGAGGAGGGTATGATGGCCAAACTGGAACACCTTGCCCCAGTTGGCACCAGTCACCATATAGTGTTGTCATACAGATTTAACTGTTACCTAGTTCAAGATAAGGCCAGGCCAAGATGCAAATATTACCAGGTTAATTACAACGGGATGAGGGAAAATGTGCGGGATATTCACTGGCGTGACTCATTAAGGCACAAGAACGCAGACACTACACTGAATATCATAACTAGTAAAGTGACCGATTTGATCGATAAATATATACCCAAGACCAAACCAAGTACTGGGCATGCACTGGCTCCTGAATGTACCTGAACCTGCTCCAGTGTTGGTCTAGTCTGGTCTTGAAAGACCTCACACTCGGTGCTGTCACAACACTTTCTAGTAGATTGTTCCAAGAGTTCACAACTCTCACTCAGAAAAAGTTTGCCCTCACAGTTTTCTGGACTTGCGGCTTCTTCAATCTTGAGCTGTGACCCATTGTGGGGGCGAGCGTCCGCCAGCTCCAAGTAAGGACACTCGACTGAGTAGTGCCCCTTAAGATGATTAAACACCTCAATTAGGTCACCCCTTTCCTGTCTGTAATATAAGCTAGGCAAGTTCGGGCGCTCCAATCTCTCAGGGTAGCTGAGGTGCCGAAGTGTATGCACCAGTCTGGTGGCCCTCCTTTGAACATTTTTAACCAACTGACTGTCCCTAGCATATCTCGGGGACCAGACGGGGTGACAGTACTCCAGATGGGGAAGCACTTCACTCTTGAAGATCGTTACGAGGGACGAACCGTCTAGATGTCTGAACGACCTTCTTATAAGACTCAATAATTTATTTGCCTGGTTTACCTTCTTCTCGCAATGGCCCGAGAACTTCAGCTCATTGTTAACATACACACCTAGGTCCTTCTCACATTCAGTCTCAAATAGTGCAGTTTCTTCATCCCGTTGGGACATATGATACGCCTCCTTACCGTTGGTATGCCCCAGGTGCATCCTCTTACACTTCGTGACATTGAATCTCAGCAGCCTTTTCTTCGACCATTCCTGGAGCCCACAGAGGTCCTTCTGCAGCTCTTCACAGTTTGCTTGGTTCTTGATTTCCTGAAATAACTTGGCGTCATCGGCAAACATTTGTATGGAGGAGTGTACAACGTCAGGCATGTCATTTATGAACAAACAAACAACAACGGGTCCAATACACTGCCCTGTGGTACCCCACTTGTGACAGGTACCATTAATCACCACACACCGCTTGCGGTCATGTAGAAAGTCTTCTATTCACGCTAGGACATTTCTCCAAATTCCGTACCCTTCCAGTTTGATTTTCAGCCTTTCGTGGGGTATACTGTCGAAAGCCTTGGCAAAATCTAGGTAAATATTGTCGATATTACCACCCCGTTCCAGAATATGGGTCTAAATATCCAATACCTTGAGCAATTGTGTTAAGCAGGAGCGCCCCGATATAAAACCGTGTTGGCAATCCTTTACAAGGCCGTTTCGTAGCAGATGTTCCATTGTGGCATCGCTGATAATACTCTCAAGTACTTTACATATTATGCTGGTCAGGCTCACCAGTCTATAGTTGTTCGTGGAGTGACGATCGCCCTTCTTGAAGATCGGACTCACATAAGACAGACTTGATATATATATACTGTATATACACTATATATCAACCATATATAATTTTCTTTCTTTCTTATTCATATTCAAGTATAAATTTCAAACATGCACATGTTGACATATTTCTTTCCATTATATTGAGAGAGTTGCATATGACACAAGGATAACATCCATCAGCCACATAAGTCAAAACTGGAATGAATTAAATTTTGCGTGTCAAATGTCAGATAGCATATCCTGTCAGAGCCATTTAGTGAGCCTCCAACAAAATTTCTATCACACGTCGAGGGGAGGGGATGGTGGCTTTCCTACCTTCCAGTGTACAAGCCCCTAGGGCCTAGGCCATCCGCTCCCTCTTACCAAATTCCAGCTATCTTGAAAATTTTGGAAATTTGTTAGAAAAACACACACACACACACACACACACGGAATGTATTTTATATAGATAGATAGACAAACAGATAGATAAATAGATAGCTGTGCTAAGAAAATCAGCTAATTTCACTGCATATAAGGTTGGTTTGCATTGTGAAGTGAATAATTGTTTCGAGTAGAGTTTACGCACGTCGCATGGACGTAAAGCAAGTCATGTGGCACTGACAGGAGTTGCGTCGAATATAAATGTGCCACGGAGAACAAAAATAAGTGTTTTCGAAGTGAATTCAAGATTGTCAGGGAATACCCAAACCCTTCAACACCCACAAGCTTTTGGGGAACCTTGGTGCACTCTCAGGTCTTACTTAACTTCAGTGATTCAGTTAGGTACGTTCTTAGGTCGCAACTTTAGTGAGTGAGTTGTGTTTTCAGTCCGCAATATCAGTGGCAGGAAAGTGCATTCTCAGGTCTCAACTTCAGTGAGTCAGTTATGTGTGTTATTAGGTCATAACTTTATTAAGTCAGGTGCATTTTCAGATCCTAACCAATGGGATGGGTCAGGTGCATTCTCAGGTCGGAACTTCAGAGTCATTTAGATGCATTCTCACTGCTGTATAATTTGGAAAAGAAGAAAATGCATTTTACAAACATTTGAGAAATTTGACCCAAATTTTATGTTCAGTAAAAAACACTAAAAAAATTTATTTTTCAGAATTGTGGAAATCTTCAGCCGTAGATTACAGGGTAAGTGTCTATCTTAATTCCCCCTGACCCACTCTTGCTTCAACCTTATCCTCTCTTTCTTCACTCTAATCCTCTATTGATTTACCTGACCCTCTCTTATTTGACCCCGATTGTTGCTTCACCCTATTGTTACAACCCTCCTTTCGCCGCTTACCCAGCTTCCACCACTGGTTACCAGCGGCCAGGGTTATATGTACAGAAGCAGTAGATACAGTACTGTATCTCACAAGTGTCTTTGATTTACCACTGGCTGTGCCGCCAGTCTCCGGTAATTTTCTGACAATCATTATCAGTGTACAGACAAGCAACAGGCAGGTAGATTTCCACCAGGTCACAAAAACACTCTTATGCACTGTAGTCTTCTTTAATAAGCAATGATTCTTCACAACACTGTTCACAGGGTAATGTCTTCACAGCTGGATTTCTCACTTCGAATATATAGTCAGCACACTACCAGTGTACAATTCCTTAGTCTTTTCACTTTTATATTGCTCACAACAATTCCACAATACTTGCACAACAATTATCTTCAGTTGTTCTACAAGGCTCGTTCTTTACACTCTGATCAGAATGGTTGACTTACTCAAGGCCGCTCGCTGCCACTTATATCTGTCTCGTTAGACGATCCTAGAACAACTCAGACGGGTCTGGTAAGTTCTAGTACGTTCTACTCTGATCGAGGCTTACACAAATGTTGCAATACATTCTACACAATTCTTACATAAGTAATACATCAATATATACACGAAAATCTCCCCAAACTTGCCAAAATAACTGCTGCTTGGAACAGGAAATAATAAAAGACCTAGGTTACAAACACTGTACAATAATACCAAATTATGCCTCGGCAAAACACTATTTTACTTTACTTTATCCTCTTCACCACTGACCGGCTTGTTAGCCATTTTGATGGTCGGTTATGTCTCTATGCACTGTTGGCAAGTATTAGGCATGTACTGGATGTATCTGTAACTGCTGCAGTGTTAGTCAAGTCTGGTCTTGAATGAGTTCACACTCGGCATTGTCACAATGCTCTCTGGCAGATTGCTCAAAGAGTTCACAATTCTTACTCCGAAAAAGTTTGCCCTCACAGTTTTCAGGACTTGTGTGTGGCTTTTTCAACCTTGAGCTGTGACCCCTGGGGGGGTGGGGGTGTCCGCCATCTATTAGCTGTTCTGGCAATTTGTCTGTTCTTCGTTAGTTTTGTTATGAACTATATTGTCCAGTGTTACTACAGGGGGAAACTGGAGTACCCAGAAGAAACTAGTGATGTTTGGTAGTGTTACACTGGATAACACTACTCACCTGTGTCTGGACCAAGCAGGACTCGGACCAATGGCACAGTAGTGAGAGATACATGCATGAACGCTGTGCCACTTAAATTATTTAATGTTAAAGATCCAACTCAATACAGAAGGGAACAAACACCCAAATCACTGGACCTCATCATAACTAACGAGGAGGGTATGGTGGCTAAGCTGGAACACATAATGCTGTCCTCAGATTTAACTGTCACTTGGTTCATGACAAAAACAGGTCAAAGTTCAAATATTGTATTACAAGGGCAAATGCGATGGGATGAGGGAAGAAATGAGGAGTATTCGCTAAGATATAAGAACGCAGACACTGCGCTGAATATCATAGTAAGTAAAGTGAAACATTTGATCAATAAATATATGCCCAAGACCAAACTCAGTGCCTCCAGGAATAAAAGGAGAGGGTATGAAATAAATTGTCAAAGCTAAAGGTTCATAAGATTCCTGGCCCTGACATGGTGCATCCCAGAGTGCTAAGAGAATTGTACAACGAGCTTGCCGAGCCCCTGAAAATCCTGTTCTGTAAATGCCTGAATGAGCAAAAGGTCCCCAGTGATTGGAAAATGTCTTATGCGAGTCCTGCATTCAAGAAGGGCGATCGTCACTCCACGAATAATTATAGGCACATGAGCCTCACCAGCAAAGTGTGTAAAGTACTTGAATGAGTTCACACTCGGTGCCGTCGCAACACTCTATGGCAGGTTGTTCCAAGAGTTCACAACTCTCACTCCGAAAAGGTTCACTCTCACAGTTTTCTGGATTTGCGGCTGTGAGCTGTGACCCCTTGTGGGGCAAGCGTCTGCCAGCTCTAGGTAAGGACACTCGGCTGAATACAGTAGTGCCCTTTGAGATGTTTATACACCTCAATTAGGTCCCCCCTTGCCTGTCTGTAGTATAAGCTAGGCAATTGCAGGTGTTCTAATCTCTCAGGGTAGCTGAGTTGCCGAAGTGCAGGCACCAGTCTGGTGGCCCCCTGGACATTTTCAATCAAATGACAGTCCATAGCATATCTCGGGGACCAGATGGGGTGAGAGTACTCCAGGTGGGGAAGCACCTCGCTCTTACTTTTATCCTCTTCGCCACTGATCGGCTTGTTAGCCGCTTGGGCGATCGGTCACGACTCTTTTCCTTTATATTCTTCACCAAAAGGTCGGCTCGCTAGCCGCCCGGGCGATCGGTCACGTCTCTGTCACGCACTGTTGGCAAATACTGGGCATGCACCGGCTCCTGAATGTGCTCTTGAAGATCGTTACAAGGGACGGACTGTCTAGATATTTGAATGACCTTCTTATATAACCTAATAATTTAGTTGCTTGGTCCGCTTTCTTCTCACAATGGCCCGAGAACTTCAGTTCATGTCATTGTTATGATAACGAAGATAAGCACAAGGAGGCTTTATTCAACTTAATGCGACATCAGTGTCCAACAGAATAAAAAGTAATTACAAATTAAGAATGATTAAGCTTCAAGTAACAGAACAAGCTTATCACAAATAAACATAACATAACATAAAATAAGAAATATAAGAGAACTTCAAACAATATAATCTAGAGCACTTAACCAACTAAGCATAACACATCAGTCAACATAGACACCTAGGACCTTTTCACATTCAGTCTCAATTAATGCAGTTTTTTTTGTCCCGTTGTGACATGTGAGTATGATATGCCTCCTTACCGTTGGTAAGGTCTTTTGTCCTAAGAAGCCTTTGTCTGGATCTCAAGTTAATGTACAGAAGGCAAGGGTTGATGCACATGTGATGCGACTGTAAAAATTCTATGGCAGTGCCAAATAACAAAAATTTTCTTGAAAATTTCTCATTAAGATGTACAGCAGAAGTTTCTATTTCCCATCCCCCAAATATATCTTACAGAAAGAGTCAACCTCATAAATTTGACTTTTCTTTTGATATCAGTACAGTGTGCTGAGAATGGCACAAAAGAAAATAATTTGTAATTAATTGAATACATGTGTTTAATACCAGTAGGTAATAATATGGCTGTTTACAGTTCAAGAGCGGCTAACGAAACAGATTGCCCTGGCAGTGGTGGAGGCCATCCAACCTACTGGTGTGGGCGTCGTGGTGGAGGGCATGTGAGTAACTTACACTTTATAGTTTAAAAAAGAATAATAGAACTGGTTAAATTGACCAGTCTGGTTGACCTCACATAACCTGCATAAAAATGGCAGTACAGTACTGTACTGTACTCTGATATTCTTACTCCAACACCCAACTCATATTTACTTCTTCTTTCTTTTAGACACTGTATGTAAGAATTCTCAGACAGCATTTTCAGAAGTTGCACCAGTCAGGTTTGAGGAAGATTTAAAGATGATATAAGTGTAACTAAATCTCTTTAGTCATTTTTTTTTAGAATCAGTATCCATATAGATAGAAATAATTCTTATAAGTACTGCACATATTAATTATTGGCAAGTCGATAATGGTGACTCCACTTATTTAATTTATAAGTCTGCTGTAAATTTGTAACACCATATTTTATGTGAATATGGGAAGAGTACAGTACAGTATTGTGTTTTGGTATGAATGCTTTTTCACATGAATGCTCTCTTTGTACAATAGGCATGTGTGAGTGAGTGTCCACCTGTGTACATTGTTCATTGTCTGTGTCCACACACACTCATTAGAGGGAGTGTATGCATAAATATGGCAAGTTCTTAAAAGGATAATACAAATAATATAGGTATGACAAGAGCAAAATATGCATGATTGCTAACATGAATGTGTATGTGTGTTTGTTTGCATGCAAGATCAGTCAAAGAGTGTACACCCCTGAGAATAGCTGCATGCGAGTGTTTGTAAGATAATGAGTTTTAAGTGAAAGTTTATGAGTGTGCTGTGGTGTCTAGTTTGTTTCTTCATCTGTATGTCCATTCCTATGTCTAATTTTCTCTCCATTTGTCTCTTAACCTCTATCTGTTTGTCTCCCTTTCTGAATATTTTTGCTGTCTTTCTCATTAAGTTATTGTCTGTCTTTTTTCTTTGTGTCTATTTTCCTGTCCTCTACAGTTTTTATAAATGCATTCCTGCCTGTCTATGTATTTATCTGTTTCCCTTTCTTTTTATTTCTGTACAGTACTTGCATATTCATAAACATCTTACCCTGTTTATTTACATGAATCCGTTCAAATTATTATACAGTACCTGTAATGTGTGTCTAATTACTTGTTTTTGGTTATATACAGGTGTTGGTTTTTAAGCCTGTCTTGCTGTTTGCTTTTCTTGCTGTTTTTGCAAGTGATGGTTTTCATACATGTACCTAGGAGATAACTGATATAAAGCATGTATTATTTATCTCCGGCAGCCACATGTGTATGGTGATGCGTGGAGTGCAGAAGATCAATGCAAAGACCACCACGTCCACAATGTTGGGGGTGTTCCGAGATGATCCCAAGACCAGGGAGGAGTTTCTCACCTTAGTCAAATAGAAACTTCCTCATTCATAAATAAGAGAGACAGTGGGAGATGGATACTCACAATATTGTCTTTGAAAGGAGTTAAAACTGTGTTAATAAAAAGTTACTAAATATAGTTGAAACAAGATCTTAAAGATTGAAGGAGTCAGAAACTTCACCTAAAAAAGAGAAAGCAAATAATGAAGTTAGTACAGGTACAAAAATAAATCAAGAATCTAAATGAAAATGAAAAGACAAGAAAAGTGATTAAAATAAATATTCATGTAAAACTGGAAATATCTCTTATTTAGCAATATATAGCAAAGTTTTAAAAATCCATAAGAGATTTAAAGAACTAAATACTGTATTCACCAAATTCTATAATCTCCCCAATCTTTCTCACCTAAAATCTTACCTGTAATTCTTCATATTATTTTCTTAGTTTACAAGAAGAGGATTATGTTTGAAAACCACAATATGGTTTCTTATATCTGTACTGTTGTTATTTGAGTAACATTTTATGAACCGAACTACAACATTCTCTGTAAGTCCATTACAGGTGTTTATTTTTTTGTAATTTGCCTTATTATTTAAGGTTTCAGAGAATTTGAAAAAAATTATGAAAGGAGAGACAAGCAGAATCAGTGCCACATAAATAATACACTGAGGAGAATATTATTACCCAGGGCAACAATTGTTTTAGTAAGACCATCATCAAACCAGGTAGAAATAGGTCACATTAGTTTAAGGTGGACAACTGTCAGAACATACAATAAAGATCAAGGTTTTATTATTTTATACTGTAGTCAGGCAGTTGATCAATGGCTCTGGATGGCTAATTATCAAAGTCACACTTGTGCTATAATCAAGTATGTGTTCACAATCAATTACTCAGCATATATATTTATCAGGCCATTCAATAAAGTTTACAGTAATTGGATTGTTATGGAGTCAAAAGTGAATACTGTAATGGTCTTTAGTAAATAGAAACTTCCACTCCATTCTATATATTGATGGGTTTTCCAAGTATTGTACTGTACTCGTATGTTTCTTCATCTCATTTCATTGTGAAATTATTTAGCAATTGAAAACAGTGATAAGCATTTTACTGTTATGACAAAATTGTGCCAAAGAACAAGGTCTGATATATTAATTATGAAATGTCCCTTTGGCTGCCTGTCACTTGCATGAAATAAATTCCTGGATTACCTACCCCTTTCTGGGTGTAATGTTAATGCCATGGTTTTTATGTGTCAACATATTAGTCATCCCATCAAATATCTTACATATGAAACCATGAAAAAATATTCAAGACCCTGAGGAAAAATTATAAAATGGGCCCCCAAAAGAACTGAGACACTGTAAGTCACTTGAGTGTGTGTTTGTGTGTGTCTCTAAACAGGGCACCCAGAGTAATTTAACCATTGATGTGTTTCTTGGCTGTGGATCCTTAAGTGCTTCCCCTATGGCCAATTACCACATCAACATATACTTTGACAGCTCTATGGATACTCGGTGCTTAGCAAGTGAGAACCAGTATTCATCCCCTCCTATGAGCTTCCTAAGGGGAGTATGCCTACCCTTGCTTACTAAGCACCAACTATCCACTGAACTAGTGATGTAGTTATATACATGGTACAGGTACTTGTCTATTTTCATATGTGAATCTTAAAAAAATGGTAGGTTTTGTTTCTGGTACTGACATTTCAGAAATCACAGAGATGTACTTCAACTGTACTTTGTTAAAGAAGTTTTACCATACTAATAATTGTATTTATATAAAATAAATATATATATTTTTATTACATATGAATCTGCAACAGGAGCATTACAGCTATGATCAGTATTATTCATAATAAGGATCAATTTCCTGTTTTCCTGAAATATGGAAGAAGTACAATTATGGTTCTCATGTCTTTCTGTTGTGTGTTATCTAGGCTGACTCTCCTTACAGCTCTGCTTACTAACTGCCACTCATCATTTCCATCTCATAAGAGTCTGGCTAAGTAGTCAAGGAAGGAGAAGCAGCCTGTAAGCATGACGATAATAATTGACAAACTGTCAGTTGTTGAAGGTGCCTATGTGCATAGACACAATTGTCTATGCTACAAATTAAAAAAAAATTCTTGTACTGACAATTCGATTTTTGTTGATGAGTGTAATATTATATTACAATAAGCTTTTATGAGTAACCATAAGTACATGAACCTGGGAAATGATGTTTAGCAGACTTGACTGTTGAAATAAATGTTTATATATAAAATTGAGGAATTCTTATCCAACAGTTTTGAAAGGGTACTTTAGCTCCACCTTCAGTACTGGGAAATGATATGCATGCAACCAAATCATTATCATTACCATCAGTGTTTTATGGCCATTTTCATGCGTGCATAAGTTAGTCATAATTACCTGAAAGCAGCTCTCTAAGCTTCACAATCTCTTGCAACCTTGCTTGTTTGGTTCTTAACTCTGAAGTAATTTCTTACAGCTTCTCCCCATGTCATTCTTGGCTTGCCCTGGCTTTTCTCCCCTCCACATTTTGACTCGTGCATCTCTTGATCCGATGTGAAGAAAAAAATCCATCATTTGCAAGTGATTACTGTACTGGTATTCCACATCTAAAGGGACTGATGAAATGTGCAGAGTTAAGTTACACTCACTGACTTACTGCAACTTGCCCTGGTCAGTTTTATGCATGGTAAAATAAAGGCAAAATGTCTTCATATTTACCACAAGTCTGTAAAATACAAATCAAGATATGAAACCTTTTCAGTTATTGTTATTCAAAAATAGTCTCAAAGATTTTATGAATAAATTTCAGATTTAACACATTTTTATTAGCTGTAACTACATTTTCTATATCATTTAGTCTGCTCTTCCTGCTATTCCTCATCCAATTTCTTGAGAAACTTTTCATTCTTCAAGTTCTCAATTTTTATACAGTTTGGTGTCTTATCTATGGTTTTTGTCCAAATTACTTAGGCTACACAGTATTTATGTCTTGCATTCAACCAAAACATGATCATATAGACTTCTATCCAAATCACTCATGGATCTAATTACTGTACATCATTCTACTGATCATACATTTACTTACCAACAATACCTCAGTCATACATTTCTCCAAATTGTCTTCCTATTATCACTACAATGCCATGGCTTTTTGTGTGTTGTATGCATCTGTTTGTCACACAAAACCTACTGGTGCACACACTTCTCATATCCTCACTTCATTCTCTCTTTCCCTGGGTGTAATATCTCAATTTTTTATGAGTTGGGATTGTCTCTTTAGTCCTATGTCTATAACCATCTTGGTTATATTTCTTTTATTTTCTAAGTCTTTCTCAGTATTAATGGTGTTTCTTTCAATAATCTTACTTATTTTCATTTCCTATTACTTCCTTTTATCTCAACTTACTTAGTTATATTCTATTCTATGGATGAACCTGCGAAAACCACTTCCCTGTCTATTATTACACATTCGTATAATTACTATACTTACATCTAAATGCTGCCACCACCCAGGCTTTCTTTATAATATAACTTCTACAGGTAGTTCTGCTATAACGCCGATAATTGTGTTCTTGTAAAATATCGTATATAGAAAATCGCGTAATAGAAATTAATAGGCTTATGGAGAAAATAGGGTTAGGTGCAGATTACTCGAAATCGAAAAAATTTAGTAGTTAGCCTAACACAAAGGATAGCACAGTCTAAATAAATGTTACATTCATATCTAATAATGAAATCATACAGTAAATGTAACACTTTACCTTGAAAAAATATGAATGTAACTTGATGGGGAAGAAGGGTGATTTTGAGGTTGATAACATCGAGCTTCTCTTCAAGTGTTATATCCTTTCTTTTACAATAATCACCGGGAATTCTATCATCAGAACGCTTTTTTGAGATATTCTTCTTTACCATATTCACAGTTAATACCACAAAATTGGAGAAATAGTAAGCAAAAATCGCGTTATAGCAAACAAGCGTTCGCGTTATACAAATATTGTCTCAATCTATAACGCAAGAGAGCAAATTGCTAAGTATCAAACACGCTAAGAGAAGAGAACTCATCAGTACAATGAACCTCTCATTTAAATTGGTAGCATGGTAAACACGAGAAGTTAGGCATGTGAGTATTTATTATATTTTCAAGGATGCCAAGTGTTAGAAGAAATGAGGGGTGATGCACACATTCTACTGAATCAATATTTATTAAAATTAACTTTGAATATTACAATTTGAACCTTTACTCACAACAACAAAAATTAGGTTCAGTTACTGGTTACGTTACTGTAACATTTTGACAAAACTAACCAATAGGTCGTACTTTATAAGTACTGTATTAAAAATAAATCTTCAATTATCAATTACAACATTAAATACTTATACCTCCTTAAGGGTATTATTATATAACAGTGATGCTAGAAGGATGGTCACTAAATACGTGTCACTAGCACATAGGAATGTTATTACAATACTTGTAGCATCATGATATTACTGGATGAACAAACATGGATGCACCCCAGCACATCTCAACTGTGAGTTACAGTGAGTATAGCTGGTGTTACGTATTTATCAAGCACTAATTCTGGTGGTAGTAATACTTGTGGTTTCAATACTCAACCTGGGACAATCACAGGTTATTATTCGGTTTAGCACATCTTCAAATAGTATAGAAGCACTTACTTTTAGGCAGTTTCTACCTCATGTATACACTCCTCAACGCTTGAATCCTCTTGGAAACGTTTTTCTTTCAGAAAAATCATACATGAGGAGTTTACCATTTATACCACATGACCGCAAACAGTGTGTGGTGATTAATGGCACAAAATCATCAACCGTACCTGTCACAAGAGGGATACCACAGGGCAGTGTATTGGGCTCGCTGTTGTTTGTTTGTTTCATAAATGACATGCCTGACGTACACTCCTCCATACAAATGTTTGCCGATGATGCCAAGTTATTTCGGGAAATCAAGAACCAAGCAGAAGGACCTCTGTGGGCTCCAAGAATGGTCGAAGAAATGGCTGCTGAGATTCAATGTCACGAAGTGTAAGAGGATGCACCTGGGACGTACCAACAGTAAGGAGGCTGTAGTGGATCTTCTCCCCTACAACTCCCAACTGAGCTCCGGCCGCGTGCTTACCAGCCAATCAGCGTACAGCCAGCTACGCCGAGAGACTAGGTCTATGCAGTGGACGTAGGGGTACGATTGCCGACCTAGTCTCGATCTTCAACCTCCAGCTCAGGATCAGAGCGTTTCACACCTTAAGCTTAAGCCGCTGTGATTGGCCCTCTCGCTACGCTCACCCCAAATCCTGATCCTCGTAAATTGTATAAATACGGCCATGCCTGGCCAGGGAGACCATTCTACACTCGGCTACCGGCCCAGCAACATCTCTCACAGCTCCTCACCACCCAGCTTCCTCAGAAACCTCCTTGCCCTACAGGACCTCTAAGCATGCTCCTCCTCACCTAGTCACTCCTAAGCACTACTCTGTACAACAATATATATACAGAAAACACATTGTCAGTTTCCTTCCTCCATCCCATCCTGAGTGTGAACACAAACACAAAATATACCCTACAAGGCGTATCATATGTCCCAACGGGATGAAGAAACTGCACTAATTGAGAATGAATGTGAGAAGGACCTAGCTGTGTAGGTTGACAATGAGCTGAAGTTCTCAGGCCATTGCGAGGAGGTAAATCAGGCAAATAAATTATTGGATCTTATAAGAAGGTCGTCCAGATATCTAGACGGTCCGTCCCTCGTAATGATCTTCAAGAGTGAAGTGCTTCCCCACCTGGAGCACTGTCACCCCGTCTGGTCCCCGAGATATGCTTGGGACTGTCAGTTGGTTGAAAATGTTCAAAGGAGAGCACCTCAGCTACCCTGAGAGATTGGAGTGCCTGAACTTGCCTAGCTTATACTACAGATGGGCAAGGGGTGACCTAATTAAGGTGTAGTATAAGCATCTCAAGGAGCATTACTCAGTCGAGTGTCCTTACTTGGAGCTGGCGGACGGTGGCCCCACAAGGGGTCACAGCTCAAGATTAAAGAAGCCACAAGTCCATAAAACTGTGAGGGCAAACTTTTTCGGAGTGAGAGTTGTGAACTCTTGGAACAATTTACCAGAAAGTGTTGTGACGGCACCAAGTGTGAGCTCTTTGAAGACAAGACTTGACCAACAATGGCGCAGGTTCAGGTACATTCAGGAGCCGGTGCATGCCCAGTACTTGCCAAGAGTGGGTAACAGAGACGTGACCAATCGTAACTTACAGCACCTAAGGAGGTGCTGTAAGTTACGGGCTAGATTACGGGCTCACTTATGGAGTCCGCTGCCAAATATTTGTTTTGAGTATACCGATCGGAGACTGTAAGTCCAATTACAGGGTAAACAAAGAGATACAGTCCAGTAAATGTATGCGGCCCATGGGCTGCACCTCCAACTCGGTGGAAATTGAGTTTTAAAAAATATAATCACGTCCAGCATTAAGAATCCTACATCGATTTACACTTTCACATCACTAAGACGATCTAGATGTTCTTAGGTAATCACTGTCCAATTTTTGCCGCTCAACAACAAAGGCTCGAATGCTGAATACGCTTTGTTACAGACGCAACACGACCGGACCCGACCCGTAATGACCCTACCACTCATTAACTCAAGCAAATAGAAATGCCAGACATAGTTATTATACAAATGAGTTCCAGTCAGCATCAGGCGACACTAAGAAACCTGGAATGTCATAAATTCTATTCAGAACAGGAACACTCAGCCTTCGGCCCCCCACTCAGCTTTCATAATAAGTGATTCAGTTGTAACGGAACCCTCCCTCATTGCCAACCACTTCAACGAATATTTTATTAATGTTGGCAAAAATTTTGCAGAGAGCATTCCTGATCACTATGAGGAATTTAGAACCTACCTGCAAAACAGACAGCAAAATGAGCTGTTCTTATCCCCTGCATAGCAGATGAATTACTGGCCATCATAAAAATGTCCAAAGATGCAGCAGCAGGCAAAGACAATATACCAATGAGCATCATTAAGAAAGTAGCCCACTTATTACTACCTGTTCTCCTACACATTTGTAACTCCTCCTTCACTAGTGGTGTCTTTCCGGATTAACTGAAAATTGCTAAAGTTCACCCAGCATATAAAAAAATCTGGGGACAAAGGTTTCTTCACGAATTAACGCCTCATATCAGTCCTCCCAGCCTTGAGTAAGATACTGGAGAAGCTAGCATGT